TTGAAGTTGGAAGTTCGAGTCTTAGAGCTCCCATTGAGACTTGGTGGTTGGCCGCTATGCTAGCCTAGCTAGATCTGGTCCCGAGTGTTTCAGGCGCAGTCAAGGCCTTATGATCCCACTAGTGAGGACCTATCGGAGTAGTCGTTGAGCTTTCTTCCTTGCCCCACCCTTTTTTTATTTATCAAAAAAAAAACTAACAAAGATTCAAACTACACGAGAGAGAGAGAGAGAGGAGGAGGAGGAGGAGGAGGAGGAAGAGGAGGAGGAGGATGGAGAGGGAAAAAACGACACTGAGAAACTAGGTTTTGTGATTAAACCGATGTGAATGAGTTTGGGTTCAATCATATGCACACCGCCATCGCCCCGGCTTGGGCTCTGGTTTAAGTGTGGGCTCCCTTTCCANATGGCATGAAATAAAAGGCTTCAGTTCCCATCAAACTTGGGGGAGGGAGGTAGATAAGGAGGGAGAGAGAGACACGCACAAAATCTGACAAAGAGGCCAGCACAATCGCATGTAGATACCAAAGTAGAAGTAACTATGTGAAAATATTGAAAACCCAGTTGCATCTTGAAAACACATGATAACATCCAACGAAATTCAGAGATTAGTGAATACATAAACCTAAAAGTTGTTAGAAAATGAATTGCAGAAAAGAATTGAAGAGAAGAGAAAACAGAGAGAGCTAAGACGTGGAGAAATTTTTTTGTATATTCTTCTTATTGATGAACTCATTCCATACAATGGTATTTATGCACAATTCCTTAATAACCTAACCGACTATCCACATGACTTCACATGGCTTAACTCCAGCTCAGCAAGATACAAACAAACAAACTAACTGTCTAACAAATTAGCTAATCAACCAACTAATTAATAATATTATCCTTACCCTTCTCTATCAATTTTAGCTGCTTCTGCTTCTTCTCTAGCTTCTGCAGCTACTTCTCCCTTTGCTTCCACAACTGCTTTGTTGTCTTTTGCCTTCTCTGCAGCTGTGATATGCTGCAATAAAACTTACGATCTTAAGTCTCTGAGTGACCTTCATAAACTAACAAAGATCCACACCAAGTAGGGTGGTCTAGTGGGATACCGGCCTTACTTCTCACCTTGAAGTTGGAAGTTCGAGTCTTAGAGCTCCCATTGAGACTTGGTGGTTGGCCGCTATGCTAGCCTAGCTAGATCTGGTCCCGAGTGTTTCAGGCGCAGTCAAGGCCTTATGATCCCACTAGTGAGGACCTATCGGAGTAGTCGTTGAGCTTTCTTCCTTGCCCCACCCTTTTTTTATTTATCAAAAAAAAAACTAACAAAGATTCAAACTACACGAGAGAGAGAGAGAGAGGAGGAGGAGGAGGAGGAGGAGGAAGAGGAGGAGGAGGATGGAGAGGGAAAAAACGACACTGAGAAACTAGGTTTTGTGATTAAACCGATGTGAATGAGTTTGGGTTCAATCATATGCACACCGCCATCGCCCCGGCTTGGGCTCTGGTTTAAGTGTGGGCTCCCTTTCCAAGCCCAAAATCCTTTGTGGGCTCACCAAAGACAACTCAAGCGTCTTATCAAGGTAGCACTCATTGGACCGAGCTAGGCCACAACCCAACTCTATGGAAGCCTAGAATAGTTTAGCCCATAATAGATGTCAACCCGACAAAATCAAGCCCAGCATTAATGTCTGCTTGGGAATTGGGAGATCGGTCCCAGGAGATTCTTTGATAACCGTATCACAACGCGTGGAACGGGGCACAAGGGGACAATAATTGACAACTCTAACGGACGGATTTTCACCGATAGTGGAGATGATTTATGTATTTTGTTCTGGGCGTAGTGGACACAGAAAAAGTCAAGATGACAGAATAAACTACATGACAAACGAGAAGGAGACCACATAATCAGTTAGAAAAGGAACAACTACGAAGCATTAATGATAAGATGTATAAATAATAGACAATGCCACCATGTAAAAGAGAAAAAAAGAAAAGCAAAAAAGAGATTGTCATTAGCAACCTAGGAAATACTTTGTAAAAACTCCTATAACAACAACCTTCTTCCCCAAGTAATAAAATCCTCGAAAAGAAAGAATCTCTCTTAGAGTGGATGTAACCTTAGTCCTTCGGTAAAGGTGAATCACTCATATTTATGTTATTGCTTCATCTTCAGTATTTCACACTTTCTGTCATAAACACATATCCATTTCCTCTAGGCTTTATCCTAGATAGATTATTTTGTAGTTGGGTAAGAAAATTTCGAGATGTGCAATCCAAACTTATTTTTTGGATAAAATTTATTTATTAAATGGGTCTTTTATTTCTTACTCGATTTTAGTTTTCTTCCCGTTGAAATTTAATTTTTTGCCGATTAGGTTTATATGTTTGTTACTGTTCAGTAATTGTCGATTAGGTGTTAACGGATTGGAATTCTTTCAGGTATGATAGACATATCATATGGATTGGTAACTTAACTTTTTAAAATATTATTTGAGCGTAGGTAAATGTGTTTATCCAGCTGTAGATAGCTCATGTCTTTTTTTAATTTTTACACACATACCCATTCCTGCTCGATTTGGGACAAGAAAATAAATTATAATTACGATGACAAGAAAATTCATATAGCCCTTAATTCACCTACATTTCTTAAATTTGTAATCTAAAAAAAATTCCTTTTCTTTTGAATGAATGATAGTGGAAGCAAGCAAAAGTTCACATCACCTCCTTCAAGCAATAAGGTGTTCGAATATCTGCCATTGTTAATTACCCTCGTTGGCGTCAAGTGTCAGGCCAAAGGTGATGATCCATTTGAACCTCACCCTATAAACATGTCGTGTTTCTGCATAGCCATATGCATCTATTGCCTCGCAATGGGAATAAGAAATCAAGTTCAAACTCGTGACTCACAAATCTTAGGCCATGTTATGTTCATCTCTGGTGGGCTTTAAAATGTAAGTAATATCAAATCTAAACGACATCATACTTTGTTTATTAGATCGAGTAGACTTAAATATAAATTTGAGTAAAAATAAGTTAAAACTAATCTCCAGTCCTTTAATCAAATTTAAACTAAATGAAGAGAGTTAAATTTTTACTCAAATTTTTGCTCAAATGGAGGAAGACTTTATCGTTACTCTACTTTTTAATGGTTAGATTTCATCATCTTTTAAAGATTCAATAACTATATTTTACACTAATTAAATTTGAATTCACCCTCATTTAAATTTGAATTTGTGCTCTTTTAAATTTGAATTTTTTTATTGAAAATATTTTGTATATGTTGCCCAAACAAATATGCATAAGTGAGTTGAGCAACTAAATAGAAAATTATTACACAAAATCTACAAAACTCCTATACTATTTTTATATTGTCTAGTTGCTTCTCAACCAAGATTAAACCTTTGGCATCGTCTAATAACAATTTTTTCCATACTCACATAAAATCATCTAAAAACAAATCAAATGTAAAATTTATCTAAATAGCATGTTTGCAGCAACTTCTCCCAATTTGTACATTGACTTCTGTAATAGCCAAACCATCTCATTGATTATATTGGACAAACACACCATGCTCACATTTAAATCTAGTTCATCAAAATCCAAACATTTGATATTTATGAGCCTTTCCCTACCATACTGCACTTTCTATGTATTTGTTAAATTTCAAATTCATATAGTCTTCTAAAAACCAAAATAGTTCATGTTCAGCTAACATTGCTCGTTATGTATAACATGGATCAATTTCAAGCAAAATAATGGATTAAAACAGAGCGCCACTACTCTATCTTTTGCTCATAATCTTTTGAGAACACATTTAGCTACTGAATCATAGCATGTTTTTAAGTAACTTTATGAGGAGAAAAACAATTCCATTACTTTTTTTTTGCACATTACGTAAAAGAATGAACTTTTTAAGCACTGCAACATGCTAAAAAATTCCGTAGGGTAGTCCGAATATGAAAAACAGAAAGAATATCCTCCAAAGACAAAGAGGCATCTACAAGCTTAATCACCAACCTGGGCATAAGATATATAAAGGAAAGTAATGAACATGCTCAGCCCAAAAAACTTGAGCTCCGGACATACATCAGGCTTTAAAGTAAAACACGAAGAAATGAAATCAAGATCGAGATCAAAATACTACTAACCTTATTCTATTAGAGATCGGGATCAGCAAGAGTAGAGCCAGAAATTTATTCTAGAATTAGCACACTTTAACAAGAAGATTTACATTTTTAACAGCGGCGTCGCTAGCTGCCGGTGGCTGGCTGTAACGGATGTTGTTGAGGGTGAAGCGGGATAGGAAAGAATGATGAGATTTGGGAAGAGTTGTGAAGAGAGAGAAAAACCAGGGAGAATAAGAAGAGAGAAATGGTGGTCATGTGTGGGTAAGGAAAAAGTATTGGGTTATTAACACCACTTCTTGAGTGCTATGTGGTGGTGTAACGGTTGCTAATAACAGTTGACCAATAAACAAATGAGTCAATAAAAATTATCCAATTATGTCATACATAACCCAACTTTGAAGGGGGCTCTATTTTATCTTTTATATTATTTTTTTACTAAATGACATAATATAACTTTTACACTTTATTTTGTTATTTGGTGAAGATGGAGTCGGACTGTTGTTCTGATGGCCAAGTTTGTTTTTCCTGTCATTTCCTTTTGAAATGAGTCTTCCCTGTCTTATATATGGGTTTATTTAGGACTTTAAATATGACATGGATTTGTATTTGGTGTCATGATTATTGGTGATTCTCATAGTTTCCAGTGCCTACATCACAATTTCCACTTTAGGTGATGGTTTTGGTCGTTCTACTAACTGCTGTGGAACTAATGGGAACAATTTCGTTTCCATTTCAAATTTATACAGACAAAAACAAGCACTGCTCCAACTTAAAGCATTTCTAGTATCAGCCCGTGAACCAAGGATGGCATGTCTAGCCTGGCCTCCATCTACAATGTCTGCCATTCCTGTTCCCCGAGTCCTTCCTAGGAGCCTTAGACTGTGGAAATCCCTAAATCCTCTCTGTAGATGCACCTTCATCCAATGCACGTAGGGCGTCCAACTGTTTCCTGAATGTGTCTTCATGGGAAGGTGGACCTGTCACGCATGCACCCAGTGAAAATATAGGTGACTTCCTAAAGGGAACCTCCAGCATCTTTGAAAACCTGAAGTCCGATAAACACAACCGAACCACTGTCAATTAATACTGAAGAGCTTTCAGATGCAAGCAATCAACCAACCGTGCAGCTTCAGTACTTTAGATGGCCTATGTGGCTTCTGGGCCCCTCTATTCTCCTTGCCACATGAATGGTGCCAACCTCGTGGTTACCCATATCTTCCATTTTCCTTGGCCCCACCATAGCAAGCCTTCTTTCATCGACAGGACTTGATTGCATTATCTCGGCGTATTCCTATTTCTCCTAATGCCAATGCATGTGCCCGTCCAAAAAACCCACCCAAGCTTGCAGCAGCATGGCTCTTTTTGCTTACCAATTTTGGAACATGGTTGCAGCCATAACAGGTTTTTCATACCCTTGATGAATGTTGTTTGGTTCTCAAAAGAGCTTCCTCGAGCCTTAGTTGCCTTTCATTTCATTTGCAGTTCTGTTGGGTCCCTACCTTCTGCTTCTATCGGCACAGATGCTGACAGAGATGCTCGCATGGCTTTGGCAGTCACTTGTGTGCATGGTGACCCCAGTTGTGTAGGAAGCTTTCCGCGTATTGCAGTTGATTAGAGGGCTGAAGCTTGGTGAACCGGCATGTATGGTGCATACTATTAGAGGGTTGGTGTGTTGGTGAGTGCTGATTCTTAGTATGCAGCTCATGAGGGTTGCTTGGTGTGCCGGTTTCACTGCGCTTGCTCATCAAGAAGAGTTTGTTAGATGATAATAGATTTTGATTGATGATGAAGGCTGTATGGAAATGGTGACTTCATATGCGAATTGTGAGTATATATTCAATTAGTTGTTGAACTGGCAAGGTGGTGCCTGTTTTATATGTGTATATAACAATATGTGCCCACTTCGGTAACTGTAATGTTAGATTGACCAAATTTTGAGACTAAATTTAAATAGGTGATATGGGCAGTAGTGATTGCAGTGCGATTTTTTTTCCTCTGTATGCCTTAACCTTTTGGGTAATCACATGTGGAATTGAAGACGATATTCGATCCCGAATGAGTATCATGGATGATGATTTTGTCGAACTCTTTAAGAAATGTAACGTATCAGTATTCACGTAGTTTTTCGAGAACACTACAAGAAAACAAGGTTTTGCCGGCAGTAAATTATCGGCGCTTGTAGAAAATGCCAGCAAAGACCCCAATGACCGGCGTTTACATTAAACGTAATTAATTAATGGGTAAATAACATAAATGCCCCTCGAACTTTAGTGTCAATTTTAAATTGGCCCCTGAACATTCAATTGTATCAATTTAATCCTTATACTTTTACATCTGTACCAATCAACTCAATCCGTCTATTTCAAACGTTAAAACTAATAGGAATAGGGAAAGTTGTAGGTACTAAGGGCATAATGGACATTATACTCAATGGATCTAGGTATTGGCGCCAAACTTCTTCCCCTTTCCCTCCTCTGGTTGCTCTGTTCGCCAAACGTCTTCCCCCAAATTTGATTTGTATCAATTGCTACAAATTCATTGTGGATCATGTGCAGAAATTCATGTCAAGGACGATTGAGAAGAACCAGTTACAGTTTGTAGAATAGGGCTTATGTTCACCAAGCAGACATGCCTTGGGAAATCTGATCAGTGGATAATGCTTTTAATCCAGATCAAATGTATGGTAAGTGTGAAATTTTTAATTCATTTGTACGTGTGAAAGTAGTAAATTAGCTGTTTATACAGTTATTGGATTTGAAATGTTTAGAAGATGTTGGGTTTTGTTTTAAAATGGTTTAATATTCTACAAGCTCTTGTTTCGAATGGATTTTGTTGTTTTTTTTTACCATATTCCTTAATCTGAGTGGAAGACAAAGCATTGCTTTGTGTTTTTTTTTTTTTTTATTGTTTATGGTATAGGATATACTGGGTATGATTGAAGATGTTTTCTAACTTTTTGCACAAGTGTGAACTCAACGTTATTCACCATAGAGTTGCATTATGGTGGAAAATTTGAGTGCATGCCTCAGATGGTATATAAGGGTAGGTATATTAGGTATGTTGATTGGTGTGATCCTAACCTAATGTCCATCCCTGAGATAAGTGACATGGCAAAGGAACTAGGTTGTATAGGGGTTATTGGTTATCAGTATAAAGTTCCACATATGGATCTCACAAAAGGGTTGAGGGTATTAAAGCGTGATTATGATATATCAGCAATGTTGGAGTGGGTTCCAAATATCAGGGTAATTGAAGTATACCTAGAACATGACACACCAAATGAAAATGAGTATATCCCCAATACATAATGTGACATTGCAGATGATGGCAAGGATTCATAAAATGAGGAAAATTATAAGGCATGTGACTCAGATACATCAAATTATGAGAATTTCTCTAACAGTGATGGACAAATTGATGACTACTTGTTTGATACTTATGTGGATAATGAAACTGAATTGGGTGGATTGAGGGACAAAAGTGTTGGGCAGAGCAATATGAATATTGAGATTAATGCCAATGAGAATGATATTATATCTGACAATGCTGCATTAGATGAACTTCAATATTTGCATAGTTCATCTGATGATGATGAAGAGTTGGATACTACGAAAAGGTGATATCCAGATTTTAGGCCATTAACAGACATGAGGAAACTTGAATTCAAGCTGGGAATGATATTTGCCTCGACCAAACAATTCAAGGAAGCTATTAAGAATTATGTCATTTGGAAGGGGAAAGACATAAGGTTTATTAGGAATGAGAAACATAGGGTGAGGGCCAAATGCAAGCCACCATGCGAATGAATGATTTTTGCTTCAAAGATGCAAGGTAGCAGTACAATACAAATCAAGATTTTTAATGATGTGCACCAGAACTGCAATTGGGCCTGGCGTAATAGACATGTAACAGTAAATTGGTTATCTGAAACATACAGGAATAAGCTTAGATCTAATTCTGGATGGCCATTACAATCCTTTAGGGAAGCTGTGGAAGAGGATTATAGTGTGGGTGTTTCAAAAAATGTGGTTTTCAGAGCCAAAAAAACTGCTAAAGATGTAATTGAAGGTGGTGAGAAGGCACATTACAGTAAGTTATGGGATTATTGTGAAGAGATCAAAAGAACACACCCAGGGTCAATACTAATAATTGATTATGAAAAAAACAACCTTGGGAGTGAAAATAAAAGGTTTAAGAGGATTTACTGCTGCTTGGGACCATTGAAAGAGGGGTTTTTGCTAGGATGTAGACCTTTCATTTGCATAGATGGTTGTTTCTTGACGGGTACATACCCTGGTTAACTACTAACAACAGTTAGGATAGATGCAAACAATGGATTTTGGCCTATAACATATGTAGTCGTGGAGAACGAGTGTACTGACACATGGAAATGGGCTAGATCACATTTCTCTACTGTTTCTAAGTGTGATCACTTACTGAATAACCATGCTGAATCATTTAATGCATTCATTCTAGAAGCAAGAGATAAGCCTATCATTACCATGTTAGAAACTATTAGGAACCTCTTGATGGATAGGATAGTGAGGAGGATAGATATTATGCTTAGGTTGCCTGGACCTAATTTCCATTAGACCCGCCAATTGTCCATGTGCAACCAGGTAGACCAAAAAAGGCAAGAAAAAGGGATCAACATGAGCCTCCCAAAGTTGAAAAATTGGGTAAGAAAAGGGTTAAGATGGCATGCACCAAATATGGGAATACATGCCACAACAAAAGAAGTTGTAAAAGGAATACTCAACAGACTGAGCAAGCTCCACATATGGATCAGCAAGCTGAACAAAATCAGCAAGGACATCAGAATGAAGAGAATCAACAAGGCCAGCAAAATGAACATCATCAGCAGAATCAACTGGTCATAGAAGGAATAAATTGTCAATGAGTTTTTTGTATTACATAGTTATGATATTAAGCATATGGTAAAAAAAATTGTTTTAATGCACTTCAGGTAAGAAGGTTCAAAGGAAGTGAAAAACAATTCAATCCCCCAAGACCAGCCTCAATCTTAGCCACTGTCATAGCTCAATCACAACCACCGAGGCCAATAACTAGGAGCTCAGTCTCAGCCACTGCCACATCTCAACCATAACCATCAAAGCCAACAACTAGGAGCTCAGTGTCAGCCATTGCCAAATCTCAATCACAACCATCAAGGCCAACAACTAGGACCACAACCCCAGCCACTATCATATCAAATTCACAACCAGCAAGTTCTACCTTTTCCTGGTCACACTCAACAGCTCATGGTCGTTTTTTTGTAAGACCAGGAAAATCAAAGTCAGTATTATCAGTGCAACAACAAGTTGAGACAATGAGAAACAAGAAAACCCAGTTTCATAGGGGTAGCATTTGGAGGTTTTTTGTATAGGATTATGCCAGTGCATTTTGTCATCACAGTGATGTTTTGTATAGAATTATACCAAGGCATGTTGTCATCACAGTGATGTTTTGTATAGGATTATAACATGACATTTTGTCATCACAGTGATGTTTTGTATAGGATTATAACAGGACATTTTGTCATCACAATGATGTTTTGTATAAGATTATACCAGAGCATGTTGTCATCACGGTGATGTTTTGTATAAGAGTATAACAGGTCATTTTGTCATCATAGTGATGTTTTGTATAGAATTATTTTTTATTTTATTTTATTTTTTTTAAGAAAGAGAAATTTTATTCATAAAATCCAAAAATTACAAGAAGCAAAACTAGAACTGTTCAAAAAAAAAACAGTCACAGTTAATCAACAAAAACAGAAAATTGTACAAAATACTGAAAATTTTGTTTATCCACAATTGTACAACAACTCTCTTTTCTTCTCCTTCTCTGTGCAGCACCATACCAATTCAACTCCAGTAGACTAGCTAAATCTTCCAGCATCAGACAGTAGCAATCAACAAAACACAGCTCCCAACTTCAGGTATAGCTCCTGCCTTTCCAGCTTTAAGCTTCTTCAATGCAGGCATTTATGAGAAGAGAGCAAACCTGGATAAAGTTCCAGGTGCAGATCAATCTGCTTCAAGAGACCAAACAACAGGTCTAATAAAAACAATGAGCCTTTATACATCCCCTCAAACAAGACCAGTACAGAGAATATCAGTCCTAAGAAAAGCCAGCCTCCCTCCTTAAAAACATCTCTTACACAGGGCAGAAACAACTCCACCATGAAACATAAGAGAGATCAGATATAAGTCAAAAAAGAGCGACCAAAGAACTCCAAAGGTCATCAAGAAATGTGTAGAAGATAATCCAGGG